TAAAACACTGGAATTATTACTCATGATACACGATACCTTTTAGTTATTGGGCTTAAAGTTTTAGATTTCATCCTTGAAATAGTCTTGTTCTTGCTTGAATTTCTGTTCCCAATCAATTTTTTTAGCCTCACGTTAATTGTAGATTTGGCTTGTTCTGTAAAAGATAGAAATATTTTCGGTGTATTTCTTTTCGATATGGTAGATGTGTTGAAAAGTTCTTTGGTATGCTGAGCCCTGAGATCAGAAAGGACGAGATCTAGGAGGAAAGCTTAAAAGCATCACTACATGGTAAAGACGGAGTTGGGATGCCAGAGGTTAACAACATTCTCTCTCCCCAATTCAATGGTCCAAGTCTAAGAAATATGGAAATGGAGCATCAAAAAGATATCTGGTCATCAGGGATTTACCTTGTTTTTCCATTGTTCATTTCATGTTTAACAACACGTGAAATCACTGAATCTATGTCCATAACCTAAATCTGAATCCCTCTGCACTGATTTTGCTCATCCATTTCCTTCATCATTGCTCTTTTTCTTTTCTGATTTATGTTTATTCAGACAATACCTTGCTAAGCTTTAATCATGTTCTATATATACATGATTTTTTTTCCCCTTATCCTACATGTTAGGCATGAGATCAAACGAGGTCAAAGTGGATAGGCTCTGACCATTTTGGTTACTTCTTTATGCTCTTCTATTCCTCTTCAAAAGTCTTGTGCTTTTCAGATTTTGATCTTGCTTAGTCTAATCAATATCACTGTCACTGCAGCAGGGATGTGCCTTTTGAGTTCATGAATGGAACTAGAAGCTGCTCTGTGGTTTTGTTAGACTCGCACTTGCGGCCTTACCTGTGAGCCACATTTAATAAATTCATCTGTGAAGGACTGATTAGAAAGTGTCTCTCTGCTAATTCCATATTTTGCTTTTCGTTCATCTTGACATCTTTATTTCAAGTGCGCTTGTGGGTTGTTCTGACCTGAAGATCATACTTTTGCTGAATCTGGAAGAATAGATTATCCTCCCTTTACTTTATAGCATATGCTGATCTGACCTGAAATTTATGACCTTGGCACTCATGACATCCATAATCTATCTGGATTTGCTCTGGTTTCTTGTAGGCCATCTACTTATTTTTCTTTTTAATTGGACAATCTAGGTTCATTTTTAATCGGACAATCTAGGTTCATTTTTAATCTATCATTTTTTAGTAACAAAAAGAAAGTGAAAAAGAGCACCCATTAAGAGTGGACGGTCTAAATTTATCAGTAGACACTGGCAGACTGCCGCAGAGAATCCAGGCCCCATGTTTGATTATATTGCCATGGTCCCACTGATCTAATGCCTCAACTTTTAGGATTCCCTTTTCTTCTTTTTCTTTCTTTATTTCCATGAAATGACTTCCAAAGGGTATTGAGTTTAGATTTTTAGGGGTGAACGTGTGTTGAATATATGCCTAGAAAGTTCTCTAGGTGCGTTTAGCTTATGATTTTAGTATGTCTTAGTTAAGCAATTTGGATTTATGCAAAGGAATGAGTTATAGAAGCTTATCTCTAGACGTGTTTGGTTCACGAATTTATAATAGAGTTTTGAGGGAATTCTTGGTCAGAAACCCGTTGGTAGAAACTACCCGCTTTCAAATGACACGCTTTTCTTTTGTGATAATGTAGATGGGAATGTTAAAAGCTTGGTAGTCCATCATAAATCTGTTGCTTCTTGGTTTGGGACTAGCTATGAATAAGGCGAAAACTGCCCTCATAGGCACCAACATCAACATCCAAAAAGTTGAATATCAACTACATTGTGGAAAGACTACCCACAACCTTGTAATTATCTAAGCTTTCCTTTAGGAGGAAATTTTCGATCGTTTGCTTTCAGGGATTCGCTTGAGGACAAAGCAAGGCTAAGTTAGATAAATGGAGAGAGAGAGAGAACCCGACTTCTTTCGAAAGCTAGGAGATTGATCTTGGCAAATTCCGTCCTGAATAGTCTCACTATCAATTATTTTTCTCTTTTGATAGTTCCTTGGGCTGGGATTCCATCTACCTATGGCCCTTAAGTTTTATAGCATAAATTTATGTGCTTGTATCGAAGGATAAGCAAACGGACCTATCTAACATAGGTTCGACTTCTTCTTAAAGTTGTAAGGTTCCTCAGTTTTGAGCCCAATACATCCCCCAACCTTTAGAGCAGATTTATAGATTAAAAGTGAATGGTGACTTAGGGGGTAAGTTGCTCACAATTGTCATGTATTAGTTTTGGGTTTAAATTAATATATTGGTGTAAATGGTTATCTTATAGTTTTCTATTAAATGAATTTTGATGCAATTGTTCGTCCAATTCAATTTGATCTCTCATTTCTATTTTTGGCATTGATTTTTTTATAATTATTCCGCAGGTAAAAAGCCGATCAATTAACTAGATGTAGACCATTGGTTGATTTGAGAACCGACATCAATGGCAATGGGCAGTGGTCGGTCTTTAACCAAGGTAAATTCTCTCTCCCAATTGACCATGTTACTAAGAAAAATTACGTTTTGCCCCTTTTCTCCTAGGCCCTTGTGGGTATGGATCCTAATCTTTCTCCACGGAATGGACCCTACGGCCCACGAGACATGGATTTCTCAAAGGGTGCTTCCATTCATAACAAGATTTTAGATTTGCGAGAGAAAAGAAGGAAAAAAAAAAAAAAAGAAGCAAATCCAATTGATCTTACTATCTATTAATATTATTAATGTTATTATTACTGATCTTTGATATCTACCAGCTTTCAGCAGATCGACTGTTCTTGTGAAACAGCCCATTGATCCCTCCATATTTAGTTGTCAAGGTAACTTGTATCCTTGTTGGATATTAAATCTTAGGTAGTCAACTACAATGGTTTACTTGTTCTAGGTAATTTTTCTCTAATTGATCTAGACCAACCTTTACTTGTTGTGATAGATGTATATTATTGATAGAATGTTTCATTAATTTACACATGTTATTATACTATTAATAGATGTGATTCTATGAAACAGATGTAAAAGTGTCTAAATAGGTAAACAAATGATTTTAAAAAATTGTCATATTAGTAAAATTATAGTTTTAGGAACTTGAATTGCCACCCATTTAAAATTTTTATTTCAGGCCCTATTGGGACATAAATGTAGTTGAGGATAGAGTTTATTTTCGTCTTGTAATTTTTGGAAATGAATTGGTAATGTATCTAACGAAAGAAATTCAATCGTTCACCTTTTGGTTAATGATATAATATTTTCTTTGTTAACTTTTGTATTAATTTTAAAAAGTAAAAGATTATTCCGATAATTTTGAATCTACCACAACTTAATAAAAAAAACAAGGGCGAGGATAGGGATGAAAACAATGAAGATATATTTGACCTTTTTACTCTTGTGTTCCTTCTTATCTATAACATTCTATCTCCTCGAGCCAAAATCTTCTAAGGTCAAAAGTTCAAACTCGACCCTTCTAACATTCACTTCAACCAAAAATCGAGTCCAAAGTCCATTCAACATTGAGTTATTACTATTTAACTATTTGCCAATAGAATTAATGAATTTTGCAATAAATATCAATAATTGGAATATTGTAAAAAGAAATATGTATTAAAAATAATTTATTACTGCTCTATTGAGGTTCAAATTGAAAATTTGAAAGGAAGGGATAAAAAGAAATGTCATTTTGTATTTTATATAATTTTATATTCCCATTTATCAAAATCGGCCACCGCACCTCAACTCATCTACTTTAATTAAATCACAAGAGGCTTAATTTAAATAATCGAATATTAAAAATAAAATTAAAATAATTTTCAACTTGAATAAACTTAATAGCAATAGTATATCTTTTTTGACTAAATCCAAATCCACCCCTAATTTTCAACCAGCCTTTAATTTCTAAATAGAATTAACTTGTAAGTTACTCATAAATTGTAATAATTATATATCCAAAGGTCCAAACCAACCAACCACCCCATGACAAATCACATATTCTTTTACCAAATAGATTAATTATTTTGTATGTACTCAAAAAAAAAAAAAAAAAAAACCCTTCTATATTTTCTTTGTATCTATTTAATCTCTGAACTTTTAATTTTTTATAAGAGTGACATTTTTCTCTAATAGACACGTTTTAAAATCGTGAGATTGACGACAATACGTGACGGGTCAAAGCGAACAATATCAACTCACGGTGGGCTTAGGCTATTACAAGTTGAATAAAAAATATGAAGTTTAGAGCCTTGTTTGACATTCATATACATATGCTCGAAAAGTCAAAGCTCTATAAAGCCATCGTGAAGTGGGCCTCTCTTGAGATATTTATTTATTTGAAATTTCTATGTCTTCATCATGGTATGTGGGAATGGCATTTATTCACATTCTTGATGGCCTTTCCAAGTTGATTCCATCAAATTTATTTTATTTTAGGATATTTGGTTTTTTTTTTTTTTTTTTTTTTGTAAAATCTATGAATTAAAAATTAAGTTAATTTAACAATCTATTTATTATTATTTTCTAAATAGTCAAATGGGTCTACTTTTTATTTTTTTAGATATTAATAAATTCATGATCGATCAATTGAGCAATTCTCGTGTCCATATATTGATGAATTCAAAAAATACTTGATAATTTTATATTCTAAAAGAACATTAAAAATAATTTTTTGTTATTTTCGTAATTAAAATTTTAATTGAAAAAATATTTTAGGAATATTAAAGGTTTGATTTGGAATAAATTAAGCCACAAAAGGACTAATACAATACTTTCTAAATTTTACGGAATTAAAATTAAAATTATGATCTAAAATTAATATTATTTTTGGTACAGATCTAAATCAAGCCATTAGAAGTTTATCCAAAAAGAATATTTAATAACAACAGATATATTGAAAGTGTGACGAATACATGAGCGCCACGTGTCGAAAGAGGCGTTTGTTTGAATATTCGAACGCGTCGAAATCGCGTTAACTTTATCTTTGCGCGACAAAATGAAGGGAAAAAAACAAAAAATATTTTATTTCTCGTCTCTCTTATAAGGAATTCTTCAAAATTTCAATTCTCCTCGTCTCTCTTTCAAGAACCAGATCGTTTCATTGGTAAGTTCTCTCTCTCTCTCTCGTTTACGAGTTTTCTATGAATTCGAATTTTGCTTTGAACTGTGTGTTAGAGAGAAATCGGAACTCTAAATATGTATCGGTAGCGGATGTATGCTTTGATTTTACCTTATTTGTTGTGAATCTGGAATTCGTGATTTTAGGTGAAGCTTTTGGTTGAAATATGATGATTTATGGTGTGTGTAGTGGATTTTTAATGGAGAAATTCGTTCTAATGAATTGTGAATTGATTTTTGTTGTTTGATCCTTGGAATCTCCATATCGGATTGGTAATGTTTTGGATTGGGAGTCTTAAATGTTGATTTCAAATCTGTTTGTGTATTTGTCTGCGCTTTGGACTGTGTGTTATATGCTGAGATCGTGAATTTACAATCGGTGATTGATTACGCGGTCTGAATCGGTGATCGGTTGCGAATGCGTAAGTCTTAGTCTTATGCGAACAATTTTTGTGTCATGCTCGGTCTTCATCGCTCGTACGGAAAGTTGAATCTCACATATCTTTAGAAGTGATATTATGTAGGATGCAAAGATGAAGTTCACCTTAGTTTAAAAGAATTGTATACATGAGTTGAGATTTTAAAGTTCTGTCTAAATTTGTCTCATTTAAATTTCCATGGTAGAAATATTACATTAACTTTGCCGCTCTTAAAGAACATTTTTCGGGAAAAGTTTGTCCTCGTCCATGAATATCTTTCTTTCTCTGTTTTCGATGTTCTTAACTGTGTAGAAGTTTTGTTAGGACATCATAATATGTTAAACTACTACGGGGCTTAGACCTGTCTGGTATATCAATATAGATGTTGCATTTACCTGAATATTCAAGATTTTTTCGTCCCTAATTGATACTGGACTATGTTCAGATCCATAAAAAAATTTGATATATTCATATATATGACTGTTTGTCGTCAATTTCTCAGTCATTATTAGCTGATAAACCATGGGGGGTGGAAAAGATAAACATGATGAATCTGACAAAGGTTTATTCTCGCATCTGGCTCATGGCGTTGCTCATGGAGCTGGATATCCTCCTCCTGGGGGATATCCTCCGCCTGGAGGCTATCCACCACCTGGAGGGTATCCCCCACCTGGAGGGTATCCTCCATCTCATGGCTATCCACCCCAAGGATATCCCCCCGCCCAAGGTTACCCCCCAGCTGGCTATCCTCCTGGTGCATATCCTGGACCCTCTGCTCCACACCATTCAGGTATTTATCCTATTTTACATATAATTGTCTGGAAAACTTGTTAGATCATTAGTTCGTTATTTTTATTTAGTTAAGTTTTTAATTTCAATTACCTCGACCGAAAGCTGCTGTAAGCAACAGAATTGTTTTGAAGCAAAACTTCAGTAAAATTTCCCAGGAACATTGGAGTATCCTAATCCTGTTTATGGTTAGATTGCATAACTTTTATACAGTTACTGATTCCAAATATTCTTAAATGCAGGTCACGGTGTAGCAGGAATGCTGGCTGGTGGTGCTGCCGCTGCAGCAGCTGCATATGGAGCTCACCATGTCGCCCATGGTGCTGGTCATTACCCCCACGGCGTTGCTCAATATGGTCATGGTCATGGTCATGGTCATGGTGGAAAATTCAAGCACCATGGAAAGTTCAAGCAGGGGAAGTTTGGGAAGCACAAACATGGGAAGCATGGTGGTGGCAAATTCAAGAAGTGGAAGTGATTTTTCTGCCATCACATTTCACCACCGACCCTTCTTCTTCAATGGCTTTCAAGAATGGCCTCGGTACAGATGGTAGGGTACCATCTTCTTCTCTAATCTCTGTTATGTCTAGAGAACTTTGGATGTTGTTATTTTACTCTTGTTATCTTAACTGCTGTTTAATGCCTTCTCTTCTCTGCTTCTGGACATCAATAATCTGGATATTTTCTCGTTTTCTTGTTAACCACTTTCTTTCAATTTCCCTTTTTTTTTTTTTTTTTTTTTTTTTGGATATGAAACTGGGTCGAAACGAATGATAGAGAATGGGGATTTTGGGCCCAACACTTGCGTGGTTGGGGGTATTGGGTCATGTATTTTGAATATGTTTTAATCGATTAGAAATTATGTGCATCTAAGCAGGAGTGGGAGTGGACATCCTCATCAGAATGGAGTTTCTTATTCAAGATCGCTTCGACTAAGGAGGGGGGATCAAAAAGTTCTCGTATAAAGATATGGCAGTAGGTCTCTTGAGGAGTGCGAAATTTTTTTGTCGGGTAAGTTCCAACCCGAACGAAACATCACAAACATCACAAATCCAAACAAAGAAAGGGTAGCTAGTACCCTTAATCGAATGCCACTAGAAAATAGAGAATTCATTTCAGATAATCACATCTCGACTAATAAGTCATAAGTTCAAAGGATTGAATTTAAAAAATACTTTAAAGGTCATAATTTTTCTAAATGAAAAGGTGGTCATAATTTTAAATATTATCTTTTAACCGTTTAGGTTTGTAGCTCGGACTTATAGACGTAATACAAACGCAAGTTTAACCCCTCACATTTATAAAGTCAACTATATGGTTTTTTAATGCAATAATTTCAAAATGAGTAGGACAAGTAGTGCTGCACTGGATCCAAAACTTTAGTACATCATTTTTCTAAATAAATATATATTGGCCAATGTAAATGAAATATTTTCACAAAAAAACACCTTGGGAAGTTCATCAAATATTTTAATTAAGTAATTAAATTTTGGTTATAAATTTATTCAGTCACTTAAAGATGTTTTATGAATTAATGAAATTTAACATTTTGAAATCTTTTTAGGTTATGCTAAGAAAAAATGTGGGTGTCAAAACAAGATTTTATTTACTATCTTTATATGCAATCAAATTTTTAAATGTTTTCTTTTATCTCTTAAATTGTGTCAAATAAAAAAAAATTTAATTTTATCTTTGCTTTTTTTAATTAATTTATTTCAACATCTGATAATTTTCTTATGTTCTTTTTAGGAAAAATATTTGAAAATCAAAATTTACTTTTTTTTTTTAATTAAAATAATTTTTAACGTTACAAAATTAAAATATAACGAACGTTTGAAAATTCAGAAATCAAAATAAATAAAACTCGTGGTTGCCAAAGTTTAAATAGGGTAAATTTTGTTTAAGAGAGAAGAACGTGTCCACCAAGCCAAAAGAAACTTACACTGTGGTATAGTAACTCCAATGTTATTATATTCATCTTTCCCTTTGCTTCCTTCCTTTCTTTTTATTTGATTCAATGACATATCTTTGAATGAGATGGTGTGAGATTTCACATCGATTGGAGAGCGGAACAAAATAATCCTTAAAGAGTTTGGAAGTGAATTGGATTAGGTCAAAAGTGAATTGGATCGAGCTAGACCAAAACATCATGAACTATGATTGCACTCTAAAGTCAACTAGGGAACTTCTCTCGTGTTTGGTAGCTCAATTCCCTTCATGTTGCTACCCATTTATTTCGTGCTAGGCTTTGTTTTCCTTCTCGTAGTTTACTTTGTCTTTTATGTTGGATTAATATCACTCATATCTAATTTAAGTGGCTTTGTTCGTGTTTCGAGTAAGAATACAATTTTTAAAAAACACTCTTATTAAAGAAATTAATGTCACAAATCAATTAATAATCAACAAAAATAAACATTTCCAAAGATTGAAACAAATAAAGACAATGAAAAATGATATTAGTTGAAATTTAGTAATTATTTTTTATCAAAAATGAAAAAGAATCAAATGGAGGAAATACAAAACAACTGCCTTTGTCTCGTTTACTCTAATCTCAATTATTAATATTATTAACTAACTAATTAAAATAATAATTAGTAATAAATTAATTAAACTTTTTTTCTAATTACAATAAATAAATAAATCAATTTTCACAAGATTTAATTTTTTTTTTTTTTAAGAAAAGAGTAGTGAATAAATAGATAATAATATTAAAATAATGAGTTTTTTTTATTCCAAAAAGTTATAAATTAAAACATGACTTCAAATATACAATAATATGATATTAGAGAATAGATTAGTTTAATAAAATAAAATTAAGGAGCATAAACAAAATTACACAATAATCGAGAAAGTTTTTTAAATTTATAATTTAATTTAATTATTGAAAATTACACAGTACACAAGATGTACGTGCATGTGTAGTTCAAATCATATGTAAACACGTGTCCCAAAATGCATGGATTTCCACACCCGTTGGTAACTTTAGTATGCCCCCACACAACGCGTTTTTATTGGACCACGTAGATTACGCTACATTGACTTTCTTATATTTATATTTATTTATCTTCTTTTTTATTTTAAAAAAGAAAAAGACATTTTATTTGACTCCGTTATTTCTTTAGTGAAGATTATTTGAGGGGTCCTTCACTACATTAACATCTTAATCATATATTAATACACGTGTAAGCATATAATTGAATTGACTTGATTTTCTGGGCCGTTGATTTTGATTTTTCTAATATTGTTAATTTTAATAGCGTTGAAAAAAAATCAATAATATTTAAAATGTGTCATTGAACGTCTTTATCTTAAAAGTATCGAAAATAAATAAGATAATAAAATATATTTAAAAAATAGATACGTATCTTTGTTGACTCTGGAAAGTAAACGAATAAAATGACAATAGAGAAATATGCATTTTATAATATATTTTAGATGATTAAAAATTAATATAAACTTACTTAACAACCGTCATCTAATATTATTAGATATTTAAATATTAAATAACGCCTAAAATTATAGTTTGGATCTTAATGATAAAATGTTATCGACTACACCTATCAATTTATGTGTTAAAAATTAAGTTTAAAAAATATACTTAAATATGCTATCGACACGATAAAATTCGAAGACGGGAAATTAGAAGGAAATACAATTTAGATATTATACTTTTTTTTTACCATTGAAATAATATATTAATGATTCGTTAAAAAATTATTATATGGTTTTTGTCACGTAATAATATCTCATTATTTATTCATTCATTTGAACTATGGAAAATTCGATTTTTATTTATTTAAATGCATCAATTATATAAAATGTTTTTTTTTTTTTGAAATTAATGATTAAATCCGTAAAGAGGTTAGAAAATGAGATGCAAAAAGTGAAGCAAATAAAAGTTTATAATAATTGAAAAGCCATTATTTTTAAAATTCCATACACTCCAGACACTCTAATATTATATTATTAATATTGTGGGGTTTACAATATATTTTATTTGTCTTTATATAATTTAATTATTTAATTCTGTCTCATTCCCATGCACATAACTTGGGTGCTTAAATTTATTTGATGAAGCCCAAATATGGATCATATTCTTTGAATTAATGAGTGTCACGTTACATAATTATTACAAATAACTATATGGTTTTGATTAGAAATTTATCCACAAATTCAATGTATTTATGTGAAAATTAAAAGGGGCAATTATTATTGAAAAATAAAAAATAAAAAGTTGACTTTTTGGTCTCTCCCCCATGGTTTTATAAAATTAGGTGGAAAATTTAATTAAAATAGGATAAAAGATGAAATAAAGAAAATTAAATCAGTGATAAATTTAACATCATATACCATAATAGAATACTTTTGAGTTTAAATCTTTTTCCATATCCTAAAAAATAATAATTTTTTATTTATAAGTTAAATAAATATATATCGGAAAAAATCAACATTCAAATCTTTATGTATGTTATTTTCAAATCAATCCATTCAATAATTCACACGTTAAAATTTTATAAAATAGTATTGTTAAGAATATTTAGTAATAAATTATAGTTTACCATATATATTATATTTGATTTTTATTATAAGGTAAATATCTAAGGGTTATTTTCATATTTTTGTAATTTATTTAATTATAAATAAGATAACTTTCACACCATTTAAGTGCGGTGAATTAATCAAACATTAATTACATGGAAAAAAGTATATAAATAAAAAGTTCGATATGAATATTAAAAAATAATTAATATTTTTTTATATTTTAAAAAGATTATAGGTAACCGTTATAAAAAATGTGGATGCTGAGCGTCTTCACTGACACTTGTTTCTTTTTTCAATCGATGTGGGATCACCCGTTATATATTTTTATTTAATGGTAAAAATAATTACAAAAATATTGGTAGATATCCATATTTTGTCTAAATATCAAGAAAAAAAAAATCAACATTTTGTATGATTTGGTTATGGGAGAGATTTTTTTTAATTAAAATTGTTGGGAGTGGAAGATCTCCATCTCTTTCTCGTTTCATTATAAAAGATATAAAACAAAATGATAGCTGGAACCCAACAATATTTCACAATCAATAAATTAATAATAAATAAAATAAGGTTACAAAATCTCTTCGTCCAAATTTCAGACAATTTCAACTCCACTTGTCCAATTGACAAACTTTCCTGACATAATTACGGAAATAATTATTTATTTATTTTATTTTGAGATGTTTTAATAATATACTATGGTGTTGATTATAAAAATTTATTTATAATATAATATACCATATTATATGCGTTACAACTCATAGTCTTTTTTAAGTACGCAACACGTATATATTTTCGTAACATTTCGTCTAAAGCTTAGTCATTTGAAGAGGAAAAAACATGGTTGGTACTTGGTACACCTTTGTTCTTTTGTCTTTTCAAACGTTTTAAAAGAGATTTTTCATAAATGGTAATATAAAAATAGCAATACACCAAGATCTACTAAATTAAATGTAACTACCTATGCAACGTCTTTAATTGTGATACGGCCTTCACTCAGTGTCTAGACTCTACTTGAAATATAAAAGTAGCAAATGACTTGAGTATTTTAGAAATACTCGTGATTCCACTACTGAGGTCAAAGAATATAAATACATGCAATCATGATTAGAGACATTATTTAAAATCATCATAGAGGTAGCCTCCACCTTGGACAAAT